GAAAAAAGATCTTCTATCCGTTCGCACATCGGAGGCTGTTACGTTCGCACATTTTAACTATACAGTCCCGCTGGTAGCCTGCAGTACAAACTTAGGGAAGAAAGTGCCAATTAAACACATTGTTAATTGGCTAATTTAAAGAAACATTTTTTTTATTGATAGTACACTGGAAAATTACTAGGTACTGATCAATGTGAGTGGATATGTCAAACTGAGATGTGAGCATTTAGGATCCTCTCAAACTTAGAACTGGTATTTATAGTTGATTCTTATATTTAAAATTGTCTTAAGTACAGTTCTTATATTTAAAATTGTCTTAAGATGTTATGAATTAATTAGAGAGTTGTATCAGCATCTTAAGATATTCCTTAAAATCTTAAAATAAGAATGGATTATGAATACGTACTTAGGAACTTTTTTCACACCTAGACAAATTAGACATTTGCCAGGAAACTCACAATGGAGATATGAGCAAAGAGTTAAAATACTGAATGTAACAATGTTTTTTTCTTTCTTGTGTTTCTTTATTTTAAATTGTAGTTTAAATAAAATAAAGAAAGCTTAATTCCATTAGGATAAAAAGTCCTAATTGCCTAAATCTCAGATACGAAAGATTTAAGCGTTGTCTAAATTCACTTACAAATCTTGTGCGAATTTTCACACACGCCCAGACAACGCACAGACAGTGGGATCCGTGACGGCGATCGCGTGCTACCGGTGCAAAAAGGGGTGAACAAAACCGGCGCGAATTAGTGGCAGTTGCGACCGGAATCGATCTGCGGTTTTGCCGTCATGTGTTTTTGGAAAGAGCGCCGGTGCTTCTCATTGCCGTAGCCCTTGCCCTCCGTTGCACGTCCATTGTATTCTTTTTTGCGGAAAAGAAGCTCACATAGAGAACATATGCCTAATCGCCGCCTCGCCGGCAGCGCGCCCGCGAAGAAATCTGTTACTCGAGCAAAAATCGCCGGATCGGCTTGTCAATGGAGACCAAGAACCGCAACGGACATTATGCACCTGCCGAACGGCGTAACCGAGATCACGAAATCCTCACCTCGCCCCGACCGCCTCTTGCCGCTCGACACCCTTTCGAAATAATGCACGCGTGTGCACCCATCAACGCATTGTTGCGCCATATGGACGTTGCGCCGGTGATCTTCGGAGCGTGCAGATCCTCCGTTTGATTCAATCAGCCGCGTTTCGTCTGTCAGACAGTGCGAACATACTCGTGGTTTCGCAATTTTGTATGAGATTAGCAGTCGTGCCGGCTTCAAGGCTAGGGGAGGCATGACGAATTATTTGAATATAACATCGCAAGAACCACGTCTCTCGCTATGGTCTTCGGAAAGATCATCTCTTTGAAAGTAAAAAATATATAATTATAAAATATATACTAGTATATGAAATATATAAAAGTTAAATATATGTGGAAAAAATATAGAAATGAATTAACCACACACATTGTAATTTAAATAACATAGATTTAATAAATAAATTTTTTTATTTAATAATTTTATACTTATATTGTATTTACATACATTGAATATTTTTATATGCTAAATTATTAAATAATTTAATAGTAATAATATCAATAGATAGATAAGTGATTGAGACACATATTAAAGTTTAAAAAATCAATCGATTCTAATTGCTTCAAAATTGTTCTTTATAAATTTATTAATTTAATAATACATATGAGAATTGAATAAATAAAAAAATTGTAAGAAACTGTATCATATACTGTCAAGAAACTTTTTTTTACCAACATTTTATTCGGTAAACTGATATTAATAAGCTGATTCATAGTCGGTTCTTATTTCAAAGTTGTCTTAAGTAACGTCTAATATTAGACTAAGTAAGTTTAATATTCAGGCTCTCTGTGATTGGTTCGTAACATCTTAAAACTGTATTTAAGATGGTCTTAAATATAAGATTCGTCCATGAATACTAATCTGTGATTAGTTTACGACATCTTAAGACGGTCTTAAATATAAGCACTGACTATGAATATATCGATCTATGAATATCGACATCACAAATGTTGACAAAATCGCGCATCGCCACGATGCAATGTGGAGCAATGTCGACATGAAGAAATGCATAAATGCATAAATTTATCCCTTTACTTCTCGCAAAGGAATCATAGAGATCCGTGGGTGTATCCCATCGAGGATCAAAAATCGGCGAGCGGACTTTTTTCCCCCGCATCTCGCATCTCGCGGTCGCCCTCGCGCACGCGGACACAAACAAGAATAAAATATACATGAAGCTCTTTTTCCGAAATATTCAAATCTCTCGTTCTCAGATCGAATAACTCGCGGGGTATCGGGTCGCCATGCCGGCCCCAAGGAGAGGTCTCAGGCCATGAATATCATGACTGACCGAACTCGGCTTTCACAGCAGTCACGTTCTGACGATTCTCGTAAGGTGCGGCCGGAATCGGTTTCCGGAGATCAGAGTATCGAATTCCCCGATTGCGACTGTCTCCTCCGAAGAGGTTCCAAGATCTCTTCCGCCGACGTGACGTTAAAACACAGAGTGCCTATTAAGTGATCGTTTATTTTATCGATTAATAATTTTCATTAATTTTTAAAGATACAAGAGAAGATTTAGATACATATATAAATATATAAAAGAAACTTCTGAATCGAATAATATTTCAATACATTCAGAATTTTCTATGAATTCAAATTATTTGAACTTCATAGGGAAAGTTCAAATAGATCTGATGAAATCAGATTTTGTAAAATATGGGAGCCCATTTTATTATCATATTCAAAGATAATCTCATTACAATGTCTTTTTTTATTTAAACTAGTTTTTCCATTTTGTCTTAATTCATTTCAAATGTCTTTTATATTAAACTTATAATTAGATCAATAAATTATCATTTTCGGTATTATTGACTTGAATATAATTAAGAAATAAAAAATATTTAAAAAATTAAATGAAAGTCCACATTTTCCTCCTCCCCCCCCCCTCTCTCTCTCTCCTCTCTAAATTGTTATTTGAATAATTCACTTTCTATATAATGTCTATATACTCCTTATAATGTTATATTCTTTTGTGTACTTACTTATAATGTTTATACTCTTTTGTATACTGCAGATTGTATTATTGTAAATTATCACAAAGATATAAAATGTAAGAAAGTTAGAGCGCTTGAGGGGACTTCTCTCAGGACACTAAATAAATGTCACTTCTCTCTCTCTCTACTTTTTTTAGATCAATCTTAATTATATATACAGTTTTTAAATCATTAAAACTTCCTTATTTCTAATTTTTAGTGTTTGCAAGTCACATAATCGCATAAAATTTGATTGAAAATTCCAACAACAGTTTAACGCTGTTATTGTAATAGGTTTGGAAAGTCAAAATACCTTACGGTTTTGATGTCTCGGTAAGACCTCCGTTTCCTTAGAAAGTTTTTGCAACAACACCTTGATGAATTGTCGCAAAACAGCATATAGCAGCGGTATCTTACTGTCCGATAAAATGATTGATTTCGTTTGACCTCATACGCCAACAGCAACGTCATCGGACTGACATAGATAACGCAGTTTATGCAAAATATTGCGAATACCAAGGAAAACTATTCATTCGAGCTGCTATTCTTTCTTTCTTTTTCGCGCGAACCACGGAATTAACGGTAAAGACGAACGATTAGTCACGAGCATAACACGTTTATGCGACGTACGCATGGAATGCTCGATAATATGTCAAAAGAAATATAACGACTTTTTGCATCGGCAGCTCATTTTTCACTTTAAAAAATTCATGGACAATTGTCAAGATGTCAAGAACGTCAACAAAATTGCTTAAACATACGATAAAAATGCAATCAATTCTATGTTCGTTTTCGAAATTGTAATCAATTTTAAATTTAAGCTTCTGCTCCGTGTAAATATAAATTTACTAAATATTTAAAACTTCACAAGTGATTTTTAAATTGTTAAAAAACAAAATAAAAAGTAACAATCTTTGTAGATAAAATGTTAGCTAACTAAAGATTTAAACTGTTAACAAAATCTTGTTTCTTATTTTTTTTTTATTTAATTTAAACTTGAAATAAGTGTACTTTTATTATATTTTTAGTACACTTATTTTAAGTCGAAAAGTATAAAACTATAACTGTACGCAACTCAAGAGTATGAAAGCATTTTGAAGAAACAAATCTTCGTTTTTCATCGCATGTTCAGCGGGCAGCTCAACATTATTAAAAATCAATCGGTTGTGTGATGATTCACTTCGTAACCCGAAAATTGACTTACCCCTGTTCCCAACGCGAAGACATCATCCTCGCATCCTCGAGTTTCTCTCCCGAGAAAGGTCAGGGAGGAGTTTTTACGGTGGCCAGCTATTTTTCATTTTTTATCTGCGGCGATTTAACAGCGATTTTAGTGTGCTTTTAAAATTAACACCCCGCATTCGCGCGGGTGCGATTTCACACCCCTTCGGCGACGACGACATCGTCGATGTCGATGACATGCGGATATACGACGTCGATAGCCGCGTAATGCTCGTTTTTTCAACAATCGTGTGGTTGGATAAGAGACAAAGAGAGAGAAAGACAATATGAGAGAGAGAAAGATAGAAAACTACATCGTAAATCGTCCAGCAGTTAATCCAACGTTCGAATAGGAGTTCGCTACTTGAACTAGAGCTCCTCTGTCCCTATCTGTCTCTTTTCTCCATCCACGCAAACTCCTTTCTATGATCGGTTTAGCCGCGCTCACCTTCTTTGATATTGTACGAATCATTGCGTCGCGTTGACCTTTGATACAGTAATTCCCCGTTCAGAAACGTTAGAAAAAAATAAATAAAAATTATAAGAAAATATATTTACTTATAATTATTATTTTAAAAACAAAACTAATAATTTAAACTTTATACAAAAAATCAAGATACTAAGAGAAAATTTGAAGTCTAAAACTGCATGATTTCAATATTTTTTATTTTCTTGAATATAAAAAATAAACTAAAGTATATATTCAACCCCATAAGAATAACTCTGCGTTGATCTGAACATAATCGTTTTAACTACCACAATCAATAGAAGAGTTATAATAACGCGCTATTCAAGAACGCATCATCATTGTCGAATTACTGCATCCTCGGAACCTAGACTCCACGGTCGTCAACCGCAATAGTGATCGCCATTTCTCTATCCTCTGATTACAGTTTCTCGCGAATAAAAAGCGCCTTTTCCACCATGGAGCCACATTCAGAGCTCAACAGTATACGTCGTATGACGCCCGTAAAAGTGTAAACGGTAAAAAGTCTGACCTCGAGGTGAGACTTTCCCGGAATATATATGCACATGGATAGTTGTAGAATAGTTAGCACGGGTAGACGAACGACCGAACTCATCCTAGGTTCTCGAAATATCTCCCTTTCGAGCCATCGACGTTATTTCGCCGTCTGGCGCCGTGAAGGCTCCCTTCGCAAGCACGAGCTATGAGAATCGCGAAAACGTCGCCGTCATATTCCTCGATCCTACTGAAACAGCGTAAAGGATAAAAAAAATTGTAGGTAGTTAAATCAGTTAAATGGCAGAAAAAAGTGTAATCAAACATTGATAGAAAAATTTTGTCAAATATCAAAAATACATGAAAAACTACGTATATCACTTATTTGTTACAACAATGACGTAAACAAGAAATTGTCATTTTGGAGTTGCCTATAGAAAAAGAATAGAAACATAAAGAAAAAAAGAAACATACTTTGGTTCCTCTGTATAAATTAACTATTGCATCAAAATGAATATTTTGAAATTTTAATAATCCAGCTCATTTTCTGAAAATTTTGTCTTTTCAGTTACGTCGTTGTTCTCTAATCTCTACTGTACTCTTCTCATACATCGCAATTTATTAACGGTATCTTTCGGTATCGCTATGCTGTCGGCCTCAATGCCGTCATTATCGCGCGACGGTCGATTCAACACGTATCCAATATTCGATAGAAACTGAGTGAGTGAGGTGTTATAGTAATACACGACCGGGGGAGGGATGCCTGCCATTTCCTCCGGTTCTTGATTTATGCATTACAGAATATAGAGACACCGCGTGACTCGTGGGGATTCGATTTCGAACCAGCGTAATACAACGTGAATATTATTCAAAGTGTTGCTCACTTGGACACGTGGACTTGTCGGAGTAAATCGAGGTTTGACCGTAATCAACGACACGTGACAACACGTGCCGCCGTTCGCTACAGTGGTGCGTTTATTGTGGCGGCTAGAACGTCAAAAAATTTGTGCACGAACGGGTAAACTTATTATAACTGCTGCGAGTAAAAGTATGATGGAACTGTTGCGTCACAACGTTCTTTGTAATGTTTTTTTGCGCATGAATATATATTTTAAGATTATTAGATTTAACAAGCTGTTCTATTATAGGATAATAATCGGGAAGTTGTTAAAACTAAATAATAGCTAAAACTAAATAGAAGCGATGGGCTCTGTAGTGAAACGCGGAAGAATGCACTTCATGAACATACAAAGTTCTTCGGACTTTTCGTCGTCACTAGGTCACAGCGATAGCCTTGCGGCGATAGTTTGCGAATATTTTCCATAAATATTACATTACGTTAGCAACTAATGTGTTGTTATGCGAAAATAGCTTTGTTATTCCTTGCTGATGGCATCGTCTTTTTTTCTTTCCTCGAAATGCAGAATTACTTCCGTCCTAAATTGCCATTCCTTATTATAAACTACAGTTACTTTTCTTTCTATGTTTCACTAATTTTTTAGGGAATGCAGCTTTCCTAGGATATATGAAAATATTAAGAAAAGCATAAATATACATATATATTGTTTGAAGTTTAATTTTAATTTGTTCAATTAGGTTAATTTTGTATCTTTTATGTATAATTTATCTATATGTAATAACAACACATCAATTATTTATTATCACACATATAATTTTCAGATTTTTCTGAAAAAAAAATCAAAATTGTATTTTAATATTTTAATATGATTACGTATAAAATTCATAACTTCTGCATTAATTTTAGTATGAATAAAATATTGAATAAATTAATTCGCTCGTTACATTGTAGAGTTTAGTAAATAAACGACGCAACACTGCTAACGTTCAGCCAAACGCATTTCAGACGTACCGAATTTATGGGACGGGAGTTGCAGCATTGTTGTTTCCACTTCGGATCCTTTATAGTCCCGTGGCGGACCCTCGACCTGGCGAAACATTGAAGTCGACAAATCGGTCGCTACCAGTTGCGATGTTTGAGTATCATCAAGAAAGTCGAGTACGCGCGCTCGAAATCTGCGAATAAAAAACCACTCGATAGTGTATTTAACAGTCAAGTACGTGACGACTCAAGAGAGCATGTATTTTCGTCCTGTATACCGGGTGATAGTAAGAAATAAAATCTAAAAGTTTATAAATAAAATTTAATTATATTAAATTAATATAAACAAAAATTTATAAAGATACTATAAAATTCGATTATATTATCGAAATAGATTTGTTATAATATATTAACCTCATATTTCTTTTAAAAAAATGTATATGTATAACTATTCTGCGAGTCTGATATTTATTTATTAAGAAGAAAAAATTTTTATATATTCTATTTCGCGATTAGCTGTATTAATTTCAATGTAAAAATTAGAGCAAGCATTGCGGAAGGAAAATAATCTTCTGTTCACTCATTAATATTTGCTATTATTATCTACACCCTAAATATTATTTCTTTCACGTATACAACACTACGAATAATAAGTCGCTGCAATACGAAACTTATAAAACTTTTTATATTTTACCTCCGCTAGTGTCCCCAGAATGAATTTTGAATGGATCACCCCGTAACGCATAGTGAGACTATTGCTCCTTTTTTTAATACCACGTCAGCCATTTATGGCCCGGCGTGCCACTTGACAGGACGCACGGCGTCACGGGGTAATCAAAGTGCCATTATCCATGGGAAATTGTAACCCCCCAATCTCTCTTACCCTGCCTACCGTTCTCGAGGAGGGGCGGATATGTATATTCGTGCAGACTACTGCTCTCGATATATCTCCTCTCTCCATCCCTCTCATTCGACTCATTCACGTCTCGCGCTGCTCCATGGCAAAGGGTGATTTAGGGTGGTCATTATGTAAACCTCCTCACCTCCGTGCGTCCATCGTGTTACACGAATTACGACAGAGGGGTCGACGAGTGGCACGTTGTCAGAGTGGAGTCAACCACTGAAAAATGGCCGCCACTTGTCGCGGAGAATTCGACGCTTTATAATAGTAGCCTCGTATTGAGATGACCAATTTTTCAAAAGTCCAAGAAGAATCACAGCAGCTACAGTCTTCACATTGACACATTTTACAAATCTACATATAATTAATTACAAATTAATCTAAAGAATTGCACAATTAATAATTACTTAGCGAAAGTAACTTGAATTTCCATTGACAGAAACTTGAGTTCTCGAAAGTTAATATCGTAAATTTAGGTGTTTCTCGCTTCTCCTCGATTGGTTTCGCGGCTCCGCCACGCCGATGGGGTAGGAGAAGATTAGGTGGGCTCGGGGGTTAGTACGATGAGCACGAATCCCAGCCCATGCATACCAATCGAGTGACAACCTAACAACGGTTAACCGCAACCAGTCGACCCGCTGCTAATCAAGAAATCACAGCGCGAGATAACCCCCACTGGAGGGGTTCCGAGCGAGTCCGCCGGGTCGGACTGGTGTCATAATATGTATCCGCCATCTCCGATCTTTTCACACATCATCCGTTTTGCCGAACGACGTGAACTTTGCTATTAGGAGTGCACAATGTTCAATAATAAATCAACTGAAACTGAAAGAAAACAGAGCTAGGGAAGAGAACTAAGAAATTTGCGAAAGTCGAATTGATATACATTTATTGGTATGTAAGTACCCGATTGTCTCGGTTCTACGCGCATTTTATATGTATAATAAAATATTATGCATGATATTCTGCAGAAAATAGTACATTTTTGCATGATTCAGAATATATAGTAATTATAGTGTTGAGAGTAGCTGATGTTAGTACAGGATATTTTATTATATTATATTTATTACATTATTATTATAGACTACGAAGTTAACCTATAACATCATTAAAATAACGATTCTATTGTTGTTATTTAAATTAAAACTATCTCAAATTAAAAATATATTATTAAAACACACATAAATCAACTAATGAATGATAATTTACCAGATTTATCGCCTATATTTTAAAAGTTAAATAATTTAAAGATTACATAATAAAAAAATGTTATGATATATGCGAAAAAAATCACATTTTTGCTTCTATGTTTAGTTTTGCTTTTGACGCACATTGAATACACACCGCGCGTTTACACATGGGATCGCTGGGAACCACCATGAGGGCGACGTACAGTAATTACGGGGTTAAATATCAAGGGGTTAATAGCGAACCAATGAAGCGGCGAGTACGATCGATGCGTTATACGATCTAATGCACGTGTTACTGGAAGTTTAAACGTCATCGATAATCCCGAAAGACAGATGAGTTCGAGAAAGAAATATCACATTATCGTTGGTTCTTTTCTATTTCTGTGTTAATTTGTCCCAAAATATATTATTCTTAAAAGTTCTTACGAATGTACTGCTTTTTAAAAATATTATCTACGTTTTAATGCGATAACATATATAAAAATTTAGTAATAAACTTATAATTTAGTTGTAATTGTAATTAATTTAATTATAATACATATAATTATACAAAATTGAGTAAACGAAATCAATAGTATTAGATAATCGAGTGCAGTTAATAATAAATATAATTTTTAATAATAACATTATAATAAAAATTAATCTATAAATCGTTACTATTATTTGAAATACGTGAGATATTTATGTGTTACAATAACAATAACAAATATTTTTGCAATACGTGTATTTGTAATTGTTTTATTATCAATGACGCTGTCTATTGTTATTGCAACTATATTCGGACGGTCCTTTGCGGTAACCTCTTGCCTCTCGAGTCGAGAGTATAATGCGAATTGAGCCCTTAAAATTTTCTTCGCGAACGCACCCTTTCTTCGTTTCGGACACGTAAAAAAGTCTCCGAAAGCTCAGTCCCACGAATCGCATGAAATCGACACTCTAGCTACGTTTTGAGAGTATTAAACTCTCTAGTCCCCATTTCTAGAGAAGTACGCTTTAGAATCTGTTCATCAAAAGTGCAAAACTACACGTATCGTTTCAACGGCATCATCATGTATTTTTATTGTCACACGTTTATATTTTATACATCGTCATATTTTCATAAAAAATAAAAGTTGTAATTTATTAGTCATAAATACTAATAAAGGTACATTAAAATATAAAATTGACACAGTTTTGTAATACAAAAGCTCAAATCAAAGAATATTTTCTTAAACGTAATTAAAATATGAAATAATACAATAAAAATATTAAGTACAGAATAAAAAAAAAGTGTACAATAAATGTATAATACAATAAAAATGATGATACAAGTAATTATATCTATAATGTTAAAAAAGTATTAAAGATAAAGTAGTAATATATTTCCTCGATTTCAACGCGAGATTACGTTTCTCTGTCACAGTCGTAAATCTGCGAAGTCGTAGAGAAGATATTGCATAAAGCTAGCAAAGCCTTCGAACAAACAAGTTAGCCGATTCGACTACAGGACCGCGGGAAACAAATAAGAAACAAACGAACGAGGTTGTCGAGAGGTACAGGAAAGGAAGACGTTTGCCCACGCTTACCTCCTCTTTTAAGGTTCTTGCAACGTCCCGGAAGTACGAAATCTAATTTAACCTTCGGTCCGATAGCGTGACTCCCTGTTCGCTTGAAATTCCCTCCCGTGGATCCTCCCGCGCAAATCGGACCGAAAGAACTTTGACAACTTATATAACTCGAATTTTCAGTGTTATTTGGGACATAGACTTGACTTGGCCGAGATCGTTACCAGAAAAGTGCGAAGATCAATTTTAATATAATTTCTAAATTAGAGATACTTAAATAAAATAGTAATAAAATTAATAAATGTATAGTTAATGTAGAAAAATATTTATATAATTTAGAAGAAAATTCTTTGATAACATTCTTATAAGATATTTTTCATAATTAAAATTAAGAGACATAAAAGTCAATTTAAAAAGCTCACACACACACAAAGAATGCAAATTAATTTTAAAATACCAGAGCTAAGTGTGTGTATCGTACCTTGCACTTTGCATTATAATTTTAATTAGTTTAATTTTAAAAGTTAACATTAATGAAACTTTATCGTATTCTACATATTTTCGTAAAAATGCCTCGTATCCTAACGATTGCAAAATCGAAGAAAAAATGGAAAGGCGCCAGGCGTACACCGACAAAAGTTTTCGCCACTCCGGATACGGGGAAGTTTCACCGTATTTGCGCATCCGGTATCATAAATCTTCGACTCTTCCCGCCTTCTGGTTGGTACCCGGTGGCCAAGTCACCAAACCCTTCGTCCATCCGAAGAATAAATTTACAAGAAAACTGCTACATTTTTTTCAATTTGGCTTTTCTTTCCCATTTCATTTGTTTTATAAAAAAGATTCTTTAAAAATGATTTCTAATTTAACATAAGTAAATTGCAAGAAAAATACTCGTTATTAATAAATCATAAGAAATGAAAATTAATCGTAATAGTTAAATAGATTAAATTTTTTATTGAAAAATTCTAAAATTCTAAAATGTTATTTATTCCTTTTAAGATCATTTTTACCAAAAATTTCTTCTCGTTTAAAAGTAATTACAGATTAGGTTAATGATCGACTTTTACAAATATTTTTGTTTCTCAAAATATGGAAAGTACAACTTATGCTATTCCAACAACTCAATTATCCCTATCAAAAAACTCGCTTCTATTCATTAATCTAATCTATGTTAGGAAATCATAATCCTCTCATAATCTCTCTCTCTCCGTGAATCTTCTCCCGCTCAGCAATTCATCGCTATCAACGCCAAGTTTTTATAGATTATTGATGATCGAGGCGTTTCGGCGCACAAAAGAGTGGCATAATAACGCAATTAGCGGCGCGTTGACAAATTGAATCGATCCGGAATGTATTCTTTTCATCGTGCCTCGATATCTCGTTTCTCCCCTTTCCTCTTCCTATAAATATTTCATGCCGTGCGTTGTCCCCACATCCGTGGAAAATCGTCGAACGTCGGACGATCCTTCTTTATACGGCCTTTTCGACTGCCACCCTCGAAAATTCTTGTGGCGAAAACCATGGAAAACCGATAATCTTCCATCAATCAGTATCAGAATCGCACCGTTGCCGTTTTGAAGAAAAAAAAGAATATACAACATTCTATAAGCCTTTGAATTTAAAAAAAAAATCGTATAATCGAGCCTGATACATTGGAATATTTCACGATAAACATCGATTTACTTAAAATCCGGCGTAACGTTTACTGTTCCTCATAAAAGGATATATTATAACGAATAGTGATTTTTATATCGAGGCAATCGATTTTGTATAATACTCCAAAAAATATACATAAAAAATACGTTAAGATAAGATGTCAAAGAACTTAAATGCTAATATTTTAAATTATACAAAAAGGTTTCCTACACAGGAAAAACAATTTTGTTAGACCAGATCAAAATATTCATTACAGGACGGTTAAGCTAGAATCTCAAAACTTTTTGCAGCATTATGCTCGAGTATAGTTATTTTGATAGTCCAACAAAATATTTTTAAATCTGTATCTCTTTAAATGTTATCAAAGAATTTTTAGAATTATAAGTGCAGTAAAATCATTCTTTCCATGTATATATAATTGCTCGATAATTTCAGAAGTTTTACATGAAATTGGTTGGAATAAAAATTCCTGTGCTTAGTAGAGTTTCGTTTCTGTATCACATCTCATTGCGTTTCGCCATTCATTACAGCCGCTACGCAAACGATGCCGCGCGACGCCGCGCGACGATAAAGCGCCGCACGAAGCTATTGGCTACCGTAATTTGTCCGGCGATGTCACACAGAACTCTTAACTCCCCGTCCATATCGGAAACGGCGTGAAAACGGCGAACGCTATTAGAGAGGCGATCGTGTGTACACCAGTCCGCGGATTGGTTGCGATGCAATTACGTACGGCAGGGTGGGCGGTCGGTCGGTCGGGCGAAGGTGTTAAATTCACTGGATGTGTATCCTGGCGAGCGAGCCCCATTCTGGGCGGTAGCCGACACAAATCCGATCGTATTTTCATCGACGCCAAATTGGCAATATCCTCGCCGGTGACGATTCCTGAATTATGCATCAGCCTCGGGGACAGTCGCTCCGAAGTTTATCCATCCCGCTTGTTTCCACCGAGAAGCCCGACCCGCTCGGCTCTCTTCCACGCAGAGAGTTTTCTCCCCTTCCCGTCTCCTCGTCCTCCACCTCCTCCTCCTCCTCCTCTTCCTCCTCCTCCATCACCTCTTCTTCCCCTATCGCTTCACTTCCTCCTCGTCTCTCCCTCCTTCACAACCCCCTCGGAACATTGCACGTCTCGTCTCTCTCGCCGAATTGCCACCCCCTTTTGAGCTCCCTACCCTCCGCACCCTTTCTCGGTTGGAAACGTCACTTATTGGTCGAGCGAGAGGGTGGAAAAAGAGACGATACCCTCGAATCCGACCAATCACGGTGAACGCCCGTGATAATGCTCGCGATATCTTGCACCGGTGAAACCTGGCGCGAGGAGAACGCCGTGGGAGAAGTTTCCGCGAGCGCGAGATAACTCTCATCGAAAGCGATTTCGGCCGAGACCGCTCTCTTGGATTCCCGGCAATTGATATAATACTATACTGAAATATATATACCGAGTGAGATTTTTATTGAAATCTATATTATTCTTAATAAAAATTATAATTTTTCTTATCAAACGATATGATACTAAAATATTTTTTTCGATCTGGAGTCTGTATCAATTCAACAAATCATACAAGAACAATAGGAAATGCTATTAGCATAATTATATAAATGTATAATTATACATCAATTTTTTTTTATATACATGTATTATATTCATATAATTATAATTATAATTTATATTTGTATTAGAGTTTTTTTTTTAATGACAACAAAATTAAACGTATGTGGCTCTGCAATAGCGTGAACGGCAAACGACTGAGTCGCTTCCATTTTAATTAACAGGAAGCGAAGTGGAAAGGCTAGATTATCCTATTGGGCGCTTGGAAACGACGCTTAAGCCTTTAACAGAGCGTCGAGACCCAACTCGAGGGACAGACAATGGGAGGTAAAAATAAAGCATCGTTCGGAGAAGGGCGAGGGTTGTCTACCCACCCCAATAATAAAATGATAAGGACCTTCGTCTTTCCGCCGCCCAAACTTCCTCCCGGCTGAAACCCCGTCGTATATAAATGTCGATATTATTGTAACGAGACGCTTTTGATGCCGATTTCGTATCGTGCGCTCGCCGGTACGCACACATTCGCATGATATACGTCGAAATCGGCAGAAACGGCGTCCGCACGTACAGCCACGATTATTATCGCGTACACAAACGGGATCGAATCAAACGTTGGAACCGATCACCAACGGTAGAAATCGATTTTCTCTATTCACAGCAATCCGCTGTTCGTCCTCCCTTTCATCCCGCATATCGTTCCCGCATTTCGTCCTCGTTAAAACGCATCGTAGCAATGGATATGACCTATCGTTGAGCAGAGATGGTTGTGAAACTCGCAAAATGTGAGGCTTTCATTGAAACCTATAACCGTCTCTTCCACATCGAGTTGCCGGGAAAATACAAACAGTTATCACATTTTTGTATTCGAAAAAAGCCAATGTTAAATAATATTAATAGACAAGACTTTATTTACAAAATGTATGATATACATAATCGATCGATAAACGTGCAGTTAAAGTTTCTATAATCGATACATAATATATAAACTAAAAGCTTTTCTTTATATCACAAAAATTTGTTTTAATAATTGACAAATATTTTGCTTAACTCCTCACAAGCATTTAGCATCTTGTATATCTATGTTTTGTATTAACAAACAAAACAGAGAAAAATGAAAAGATACAAATCTAATTCCCGAGCTTACGTACGTTCCATAAATGTAATATGAATTCATTTATTAGTAGACTGTATTCATCGCTTTTTTGTGAAAGCATTAAGGTCTTAATTTGTGGAATACGCACAAAGAGAAAACAGTATATTTTGTACAATTAGCTGCGAGATCTATTCGAATTTAGACTTGAACTTTTTCTTTAAAAAAATTAGTAAGATGCACATCGAATGCCGCATGACCAACAAAGTTTATTCAAAATAACGAAAACAATTTGTTTTTAAACTCTTTTAAATAAATCAAATAAATTAACCATTTCTTGTGTTGATATAATGCATAAAAAACATGATGCAAATTAAATTTTTATACATAATAATATCGAAATCATCTACAACAAATTTATTTTATAATATATGATTTTGATACGCATGGTGTGTTTATATTTTTAAGTTGATACATTTCGATAAACATTATACACATTTATCGAATTGTAGCTAATATTTATAGAAATCCTTCTATGTTAAACTGAACACGCACACGCATTAGTATATATTATCAGCATATAATTTTAGAATAGATAATCCGTTAGTCACGCGACAAGCAACATGCATCGGCAGCCGGTTTGTTCACCTTGCACTAAACTCTCGCGATCAGTGGTGCTTCCTTAAAAAAAAATTACAGATAGACAAAATGAAATCATTAGGCGGAGCAATACACTATCAATCGCAGATCTGACAGAAGATGAACAAGTCGGCTTTAAATTGTTGACAATTATCGATTCAGGAGACCGAATCTCAAATTTCATAGATCTCGCAGAAATCACTGCTGTGCACATTTATTCTTGTTTTCTCATATCTTAAGATATTTTTCTATGAAACTTATTTCTTACTACCATCATGTGTATATTTTTGAACAATAATCAGTCATTATTTCATTAAAATTTTTGACAAAACAATTTACGTATATAAGCCAATATTTCGTACATAAAATAATTATTCTCAATGCAAATCAATGTTCAATATTTGAAAAAATTATTTGATATTTGAAACTTGTTTAATGTAAATCCTCTTTTCTATTAAAATTTTGTCAACTTTCTGTATTTAAAAAATAATGACCAATATTATGCTACATTCGTTTCTCATACGATGCTTCAAGATGCCGACGTATTGTTTTTCTTCCTATGTTCGCAACCTACAGTTTTTCGTTTTACTTGTAGATTGCATAGCTTCTTTTGCGGAGGACAATAGTGTACGCCAGTGGGACAGGGATATTTCTTCTTCAACAGACACGGTTGTGTCGAGGGTCGCTCATTTATCGCTTTCGTTTCGTAGCACGGACACGAGCCAGGATGTACTTTGGGTGGTGGTGGACAGGGACAAAGTACGATAGGTACGTTCGGTGGTTTCGGCAATGGAGCTGGAGCACAAATTTCCTTCTTTTTGACATTAGTCAGTTTAGTCTTTATATCGGATTTATCATCTTTCTGGAAGTGTTCCACAGGTGGACACAGTTTAGGCTTCGCAAACTTCGGCGGGGTGCATGTTACCTTTGCGTACTCCATCTTCGGTGGTGGAAGAGTTCGAGGCAGTTTGCACTTGCCTATTGGCAGACAAGTCTTCCTACACTTAGAATCCACGATCTTTTTCTTTATCTTCGGTTTTTGTCTCGTCCTCGTGTTTTGCTGTGATTTATCGCACTTGACCTTTTCTTGGTGACGAACATCGCTCTTTTCCTTGCAAGATTTGCCACACTCATCAGCTTTCTTTATCTCGGTCGGTTTGCAGATTTTATCCATTTTCTTGCAAGCAGAAGGCTTACTAGAATCTGATTTAGCAAGTGGAAACAAAGAACTGTGAAATCCTCGCCAGTGAAGAAAGCCACGCCTATGCAGGAAAATCGGATAACAGAGATTACGATGAGAGGACGTCTTATACGTTTTATTTCTTTGTAATTTTGGAAGCTTCTTGGATATTTCTTGAATGTTTTTGGAAACATTTTGTGAGCACTGTGAAAGTGAATGTGAGCACGTTGAACGAGACATAGAACATGATAAAAAATATTGTTTGCAAAGTTCTGGAGATAGGAATTTCCATTTTAACAGATATTCGAGGCACGTTAAATATTTAGAAGACGGTGCTAATGACTTCGAGTATTTCAGACATTCTAGAAATTGTGAATCCTTCTCACGACAGATCTTTAAGAATGGCGGCTTCTTTACGAATTTCAAATATAAAGCGGAAGAACGTAGCAAACTGACTGATTTATAATGACAAGGTAGCGATGACAAAGTATTATGATAAAGTAGAAAATATTTCTCAATGAATCCATAGAATTTTAAGAATGGTAGACAAGAAGGTGGAACTGTCGAATAGCAGACTGACATTGTCGATACTGATTCATTCAAAGTCGGCAGTTTACATTTCGTTATAAATGAACGTTTCAAAAAATGTTTTCTTGATTGTTCGTGAATCCGATCAAATGATTTATGCGATAAAAGGCTGTTTCTAGGCTTGAAGGAACTAAAATCTCTTGTGCAAATCAATCCTGAGTTGAACATATTCATCGAACAGACTTTATAGTTCCATCGATTAAATCCTAATTCTCCTATTCCAAAGATAGGCCTTGGTAGACTTCTTAGGAAGGTTTCCGTTTGTACGAACTTTAGCTTCTGTATAGCCTGTGGGATTCAGAAAAAGAGATGAAGATAAAGAAATATATATTTATATTTTTCTAGAAATAACAACTCTTCGTTTGCGTCAACGATATTTATGATAGCCGCTGATGCCTCCACGTACCTTCTGTCTCTTACTGACGCAATTCAGCATTTCTCTTTCTTGCACGGTTTCTTGGGTGGGCATTGAACGCAGAATGGCTTTTTTTTGGGTTTTGGCTTGGAGGGATAACCCGGTGGTTCGGCGGGCTGACAGGGGCCCTTGGGTGGATCGCATGGATTCTTTTTTGGTTCACCAGGCGAATTCTCGCCACAGTCTGGCTCACCTAGCCGCAATGCTCTGCCACTAACTGCCTGCTGGTTTTTATGTATTAATTCGTGAAGGATTTTGCTGCGTTTCCTCAATAATCTCGCGGTAATCCCGACCAGCGCTCTTGGCCCACCTCCCTCCTTTAGAGAGTTTAACAAGACAAAAGAAAGCTTGTATTCTTTTATAGGTAAAGAATGAAAATATAATGATTTAATGAATATAGTTCATGAATATAAAAGAGAGGCTATAATCTAGCTTAATGTTTATATGCTTACACAAAGATCCTTTGATTCATACAAAAAATAGGATCAATTCATTGATTTGTTGTTTCTATTTTCATTGATTCATTGTCCTTATTTTCATTGATAATTTTTTGTTCTTTTCTTCCGTCTGTCGTAGCCTCGATTTTCGGTGCTTCATGTTTGGATCGGAAAACTCGACGCTTGAACTCTGCTACTTTCTCGATCAGAGTTCGCAATTTTTCGACAGCGTCCTTGTTGGAAACTTTTTCTGACATCAGCATTATTTGATCAGGCTCTGTTAATTCTTCAATACTTGAAAAATGTACGCGTGTGATAAACCTCGTTAATGGACCTCCATTGACATATTTGTTATTTTCAAACAACAGCATCGTCGGCTCAAAACTGTCGTACTCATCGTCGACAATTGGTGGTTCTTTACTAGGTTTCTTTAGTTTTTTACCTAGTTGATAGTCATCTATACCGATCTCGTCTTCGTATTCTTCACCTTGAGGGAAATAGTCATCGTTGGCATCGTACGATAACTTTGATTCCTCAAACTCATCACACTGATCGCTACAATAGCAAAGATGAGTGACAAAATGATTATGTAGAAAAGAAAAATCGGAACAATCCTTGTGATTGACTGTTGAATTGAGATCTTGTTGGAAATCTTTGACAAAATTGATTCCCGTAAACTGTTGATATGAATTGATGATCGATAGAAAATCTCTGTTGGTTTGGATCCGATTGGACTCGATCGGTTTTCCACTTCCCGTTATTTTTACCGCAGATGTCATCGATGAACTTGAACTCTCTCTTCTCTGCAGAGAGATGACGACCAAAGCGATCAGAAATAGAATTTATAATAGTTCATTATGTGAATAAGATATCCTTTTTCACGTATACGTATTGTAAGATTTTGAATAGTTTAAAGTAGACAATTCAACGAGAAAAGAGGCAGAAGGGAGGTGGAGCCACAGCGATCACAAAACATTCTTGCGAGTTTTTCAACGTATGTTTGGATAATTTTTTTAATTTAATTGCGTGTAATTTTATTTAAAAAATATACAAATAAAATATACTCAAATACGAAAGATATCGTTATAGTTTCATAATTTATTTATCAAATAAAAAATAATTAAATTCCCCTTTATAATAATAAAATATAATAATAAATATTCCAAAAACTTACTTCTGCTATTATTTCGGATTTTGAAATCTTGACAGTCAAATTTTCTGGTTGTGGCTGAAATAAAAAATTATATCATATAGTTGTTTAGTTAGAATGTTTTTGTGATCTCTATACTTAAAAGAATATAACTAAAAAAATTTACAATACTGTATATATATAAAATAATATTTATTATTACTCACAGATTTATATGTAACAGAACGTATCATATGCTTATATAAGTACTTCACAGATATGAGATATTATAAAAACAATGTTTTTTTTCTTTAAAATAATTTACATTAATATAAACTAGATTTTGTTCCGAAATAATTCATTTTAAAGTTAGATTTTGTAATTAATATTTACGGAAATATTTTTTAACTCTACTATAATTTCTATATATAAAAAGAGACATTGAAAGTTTTTTTTTCAGGAAACGTTTTATACGTAAACAATGCATAAGTGAGATATTTTCAAGAGCTTTTTCCTTTTGTGTCATCAGAACATTCTGGAAGCTTTTTAACAGGTGGACACGGTTTCTTCTCACATGGATCAACTTTTTTAATCTCTAAACAATCAGGCTTTTTTATTTTTTCTTTCCTTTTTATTTCTTTTTTCTTCTCAGGCTCTTCTTTCTTCTTGATGTCTTTTTTCTTCTTGACATCTTTTTTCTTCTCTGACCTACATGGACTTGCGTCATGCAGTTCATAACAAGTTTGTACTTGCTTCATGGAATATGGTCTACTGCAAGGATCTTCTTCTGTTCTAGAAGTATCATCCTTTTTCTTTTTACATGGGTCTTCTTGGACCTCCACCTTTCGTTCGCGAGGTTGTTCACGGCAAGGATCTTTTTCTGTTCTAGAAATATCATCCTTTTTCGGTTTACACGGATCTTCTTGGATCTCCGCCTTTCGTTCGCAAGGTTTACGGCAATCGCGGGAATATTTTTTATCGCAAGAACTCTTTCTCCTTTTGCAGGAAACTACATTTTGTCTCTTGCCTGCCCATTTTATTCTCCCGGCGCAATCAGTCCTCTTTTCTCTCTTCTGATATTTCTTTTCCATCTCCCTCTTTTCGCATGACTTCTCTCTTTTCTTACAAATATCATTCTTCTCTCTATTCTTCTTAAGAGTTCTTTTCCGCTGCATACAAAATTCCTGTATCTTCCTCCGAATGCCGGCCCTCGGTTTATCAGCTTCGTAATCCTTTGATGCAAAGAGAATCGCATTATTGGAAATTATGTCGGAAAACGGAATCACTTGGTTCACCACAAAAATATTTTCCGAACAATACGAGTCCGATGCGGTTGTCGAATGGAATCGGATTTTGGCCTGCAGGTCTGGGAGTATGGATTTGATTTTGGAGCATATTCGTCGAATCCAATTTTCCTGTTCAACGACATTTAACGTATCGTCCGTCATTGTTTCGCTGTCGCGATTGAATGAAACTACTTCGCGATTCTTTTCACGTTTGTAATTTATGAAATTTAATGAAGACAAAGGAAATTTAATACGACCGTAGAACTCATGTAATAACCTCAATTTGTTATTCAATAGCACTGCTGGGATCGACCAATCGGTCGATTTCTCTGCTCCTTTGCAACGTGCCTCTATATTTGGAAGTATACTAACATTCCTAAATTTCATCATCAATCTTCTTGCTGGCTTTTCGCCATGATTCAACAAAAACGTTGGCAACAATTGATGATTATTTTCTTTCGCAACGAGTGCACTATAGGATAAATGTTCGATTTTTCTCGTTTTCTTAATCGATCGATCTTTCTTCGCGATTTTCGTTTCTGGAATGAAGTTCAGATCGTACTCCTGAAACGATGGATACGTCAAGTCGGAGAACCACTTGCGAATCGGGACGGTGGCGTAATCTCTTTGCCAGGTTTTCATGTTACTGGAACTCGTCTCACCCAGGACTCTGGCATAAAGACGCATCCTGCTGCATGCATTACCCGCCTGAGGACAGACGGAGACACGATTTCAAGATCGGTTCTCTTGTAGACCTTTTCTTTGTTAAAGATTTACATTTGGCCGCTGGTCTTCAGCATCGATTAATTTTATTCATAGATTAGCTAACTTTATATCCCAGTTTATATCATTATTTTTTATAAAATCTGAAAGCGTCATTTCATATAACATATCTTCAGTGCATGCGTCTTCAGGCTTCTGTTACCAAATTTTTTGGAACTTTACAATTATTTTAATATTCGTACTACGCATCATGGTTGTTTGTTTTATTTAAGCGATGATTTGAACAATTTTAAATGCCCAAGAAAATCTTGCTCAATAAAGCATCACACAAAGATGACGAATATGTATGAAATTATAATTTCTTCAATAGTGCACTATATCGTCCAAAAATAGCGAAAATTGATACTGACTGTACGTCACATACTTAAACGCGAATATGCGAATTTTACGGTTCTTATTGTCCTTTGCCAGTAAAGTGACAATACAATTTAAGATTTGTGTTACGATAATTATTAATAGATGCATTCTTTAAAATTGAGATATTATAATATCGAATACGGAAATCAATGAAATTGTTTTATGAAATTTAATCTTTTTAATTTTATGAAATTTATTTTCATTTTAATTTTTTACTTGTGCACAATAAAAAATACTTTTACTTTATGTAATAATATCTCATAAAATATTTCATGAAAAAAAAATTTTATAAATTTGTATAGAATATGCAGCATATTGAGCATACATGCGATTATGTGTACAATATATTAAAAATTATTTTTACCTTTGTTTATCACAACTAGAATTAAGTAATGTGTATATACGGATAGCTCTTAAGTATAGTTCTACATTAACTATATTCTTTAAGGTGAATAATTCTATCAAATAATTTTTTGTATATGTCGTAAATTTAAAATATAAATGTTACAGACTTTTTTTCTCTTATATTTATTTTTCTCTTACCTTTGACATTAATTCCTCAATAGGTATCAATGGACTGTTAAGTGCTGGAACTTCTTCAGCTATTGGTAAATGGTAAAGAGCTGCCACAAGTTTCTCTGTCTGATTCTACATAAAAACCGACTACTTTATCATACAATTTTTTTTATATTTCATGTACTGTATTTAATCTTTCACATTTAAACATACAACAGTTTTACTTAATATATTTGAACTTTATTATTTATTAAATAAAAGATAATATTAATTCCAAATAATAAAAATATTAACGATACTAAATAAAGATAATTCTAAAATAGGGAGACAAATTCATATTAGTTCTACATTAAAAATTAGAAAAAATACTTTGGTAATTTTATAAAAATCTATTTTATTGCTTAATATTAGCAAAACGAAATGTTTACACATAATCAATGAAAAACATTAATATATTAAACATAATTAATAAATTTGAATACGCCCTAATAAATACAAATGGATGTGTAAATAATAAATAAGTTTATTCTTTACCCTTCCATTATTTCCTTGATGATTATTATTGTCTGTTTGTCTCGTGCTGTTAACTACTGCATTTGAACGATTGCTTTCCTCCAAATAGGATTTCTTTTTCATTGTTGGTATTTCTGATAGCTATTTAATTGTTATTTAATTTTTTTACAGACGTTTAAAATATTTTTCTTTAATAAAAATTGTTAATTATAATGAAAATTTGTTTAATTTACATATTATATTGAAGTTTTTTAAATAAAATGTGAACAGTGAATCACTTACAATAGGTTTGAATGGCTGTTCATCATAGAAATTGTAAATCGGCAAAGGTCTGTTGACAGCTGCCACATCGTATAACGCAAGGGCATTCAGTTTCACGTTATTTCTTAATAACTGAGATAGGGTTTGACTGATTTCTCTAGCGTCGCCAATTAGAGCAATCTAAATTGGTATTTTTAATTACACCGACGTATTAATAAAAAGTATAAAGAAATAGACAATGTAATCTATGATAATGAAGCGGGTAGAAATGTATAAAATAAAAATCTCTCGCTGTCAAAACTTAGTCGCAAATACCTTGAAATTCTTTTCACCAATATGGATTCGGCGTGATCCAACGGATTTTATAACTGATTTTGCGGCTCGGGAAAACATGGTTAAGTATACTAAAATAATTTAAAAAATTTTAACGACTTCATCGGACGCCCGACATATTCAAAATGATTTGGCAATGAGCACACGGCGTTTGTTACAAATAAACATCGATTCTTTCAATTTCAACTGTTCGAATATGTAAGGCAAAAATTAAAGTATCATACGATTTTACATTCGACGCTTTATTATGCGAATATATTGTATATAAATAAATATTATTAGAAAATACTTACACTAAGTAAATTAATAAAGTAATATTAATCAAGATGTAAAAATTTCTCTTCTAGGATCAAAATTTTTATCTCAAAAAATACTTTAAGATATTAATTTAAATACTTGAAAATACTTTTTTTTATGAATATTACTTTAAATTAATTAACAATTAAATCTTTATTATACTAATCTTTACTATAAAAAAATTAAAGCAGGTATTAGATGTAAATTTACATTTAATTGAATTTATATAAAATTGAATTAAATAAATGAATTTTAAACATAATTCAAAGACAATAATTTCAATATACACATTTTTGTACGTAATGTGTAATTAATATGAATTCATATTTTACACTGCTGTAGCCATCTAGTGTTGCAGCAAGAAAACAGAAACTCGATATATCTACTAGCGATAATCTATATAGGAATGTTAAATATGATCGTTCCTGTTACCGATTGCTATTCTACTAGTTCGCTGAAATACCGACAACTACACAGGGTAGCTCGGTCACTTACCCTTAAACGATATCGCAATAAGATTGAGTTGTTTCATCTCCTTAATAACTACAGTCTAAAATGCAATTTACCATTTTATCATTCTCAGTTTTAGAAAATACAAAATTATTAAAAAATATTAAAACATTCTTTAAATATACATATATGCATATTGTTTCAAATTAATAAAGACATCCATATATATTTTGATTCAAAACAATGGAAGAGGAAATAGGAACAGATATAGAAAATAAAATTATTTTAAATATATTAATTAAGATTAATTAAAATTTCTTCTTTCCGTTTTATAAAATATTATATGTATTGTATAAAAAAATACATAAATTAAGTAATTAAAATTAAAGGAAACTATTCATTTATTTATTTTTATATTTACATCCTAAGAGGGAAAAAATACATAAATTAAGTAATTAAAATTAAAGGAAACTATTCCCTCTTGGGATGTAAATATAAAAATAAATAAATGAATAGTTTCCTTTAATTTTAATTACTTAATTTATGTATTTTTTTATACAATACATATAATATTTCATAAAACGGAAAGAAGAAATTTTAGAGAAAAATATAAATAAATAGCCTTATTTAATTTTAAAATTATTTAATTTACTTACATTTTATGCGACATTCCATAAAACAGGTAGACAGTTAGAATGTTTAACAGTTAAGACATATCTAATTTCATTCCGATACGCACATACATTTTATTAGTAACTGTATCTATTAGTAATTAAATAATGTATTAAATGTACGAAACTATATTCAATCCTGTATCATATACTTGTTAAGTTAAAAGGCATGATAGTGTATATCGCGCTATCATGTATTTATTTCTTGGTTAGTAACCTTCGTCTGCGAACGTGATATTGTAGGCAGGATATTTTTTCTTCAATAACTCAACCGACACTTGATGATCCGCTTTGCCAAAAGCCTATAAACCAAATTAGTCGAAAATGATTAACTGTTTATCACATCTTCCAAAAATAAATGTATAATAATGTCGTGTCATTCATGACCTTTACGTGATAAAGTTTAGGTCATTTTATCATGCTAAATTAACATATTCGCCAGCATAATGAATTAGTTGGTAGCAATTGTTACGAGAATAGACTTCGCGTTATTCAATTTTAATGAAGTGTATACTTGATATCGCTATAGCTGTCATGTTGATTGCAGCAATACGCGAAAGGAAAAGGAAATTAAAAAAAATAAAGAAGGTGGAAATTAAGCTTCCGGGGATAGAGTCTTTTAGATAAAATTGTGATGATAAATTAAAATGCTGTATTTTAAAGAAAGTTAAATACGAGTGCTAGTAAAAAAAAGACTTTCAAATCAGTAAAAAGTTCTGAGGTTGAAAGAAAAACATTATAAATGCACCCAATAACGCAAATGAATAATTTAATGGATTTCTTTGTATTATATTACTTATTTTTATAATAATGTACTAATATTGAATCGCAATTTAGTAATAATCGGCGAGTTCAAGCTGGGGAAAGCTGCTTGCCAAGTGATTGAATGTGATTGGTTGAATAAGTAACAATCAATCATATTCATTTGCTCGGCAAGCAGGCTAGTCGCTTTGTCAATTTAAATACGCCTAATAATAATATAATATTGAATTCATCCTCTATCTATATCTACGGTCATGTGGAATTTCGCATCTTCCGTCAACGACCTAGATCTTTGAGCTTCAATGCAGATTTTGTTTTACAGATGTAATTTGTATTCTATCAAAATTCATAATGAAAATATTGACGATGCTTTCAAAGTTCAACTAGCCAGCGAAGAGTTAATATTAATTTGAAACGTCGCGTGTTTCTAATTGATCTTGCATAGCAAGAATCAGAGAGAGAGAGAGAGAGAAAGAGAGAATTACATAAAATATTTTATAATTTTTAATCTTACAGAAGAGAGAGAGAGAGAGAGAGAGAGAGAGAGAATCTCACATTTATTATAAATATTAATAAAATAACTTGATACTTTTTAATTTTTTCATACATAATACCGTTACTCTTCGCGTAAATTTTATGGTATTAAGTCATGTTCTCATGGGATCAGAAATAATCTTCAAGAAGACAGAAGTAGATAAAATACGCCCCCGTTGCTTGTAGCTGTAACTAGCGATACGAAAACAGAGCATCACAAGGATGATGTTAAAATTATTCTCCCCCGGGCGTTGTTAGATTTAAAGAGGGTCCCCCTCTTTAAATCTACTAATATCCTTTCGCTTCTGTCCGGGGACTCTTTAGTTTTTTAATATATACACTCGAATTTTTTTCTTAAATCTTGCGTTTTAAAAAATATTTTCTGGTCAATCTTAATTTCTCGTAAAGCTCTTGTAATATAAATTATTCATCTTCCAGGATGGATTGCAAAATTGAATTTAAATTCTCGAATAAATAATTCGAAATGCTTCCGCCGCTTTAAGACATATTGGCTTGTTTATTCCTTATAATATCTATATAGCACTAAGATATTTTCTCTGAAACAGGATGAAATGAATATGCAGCATGTTGAGGCATTCATATCATATTTTACGAAACGCGCAACATCGCTATATCTATCGTACTTCTCATATAACTTAAATTTATTTACTAAAGATAACGGTAGTCTGATAGCGTCCTTACTTTTGTCCTTACAAATTGCAACTTGTAGCCAAATTGAAGTTATACAGCTCTTTATGTAATAAACTCAACGCGGTATGATTAAAATCTACATTGAGAAAGGTTGCTAGTAGTAATCCTGACGTCAAGACGTCGAGAATTTTGTCAAAAGATAGCAGGGTTAAAGCAATGCATTTTAATTAAAATAAACTGTCTATCCTTTTATCGAATAAATAAAGCAAATATTCAGGCCAATACAAGATGCTTATGCGTTATGGTAATTGTCGACATAATAATATGGTATTATAAAATTATTCCTATATTAAAATTGGTGTGTCACGCTTTTTTGAAGCCTCTTTTCAAAGGGACGTTGGAGTACTCCGAATTCGACGTGGCTTCGTATCCGGGGGTTTTTGGGATCGCTCATTCCGAAATCCTGATAAAAATTTCGAATTTCAAAATGGCTGAACCAATATGACGGATGGAAATGTTACCGAAATCCTAAATGTTTTCCGATTTCGGTGAAAATTGGTATCGTGAGGATTTTGGAAGTAAGAATAGGTAAATTAGGAGAAAGTCTTTGGACGGTAAGAGGGGTAAGAGAGAGGTGCCCCCTGAGTCCGCTGTAATTCAATGTAATGACGGCGGATCTGGAGGAGAAGATGGGAAAGGTAAAATGGGGGGGAGGTGAATTTGGGAGGTAGGAAGGTATATAGGTTGGCATATACGCGCATGACATAGTATTACTAGCGGAGCAGGAGGGAAGCATGAGGAGCATGATACAGAGATTAGAGGGCTATGTGGATAGGAAGGGATTAAAATTGAATAAGGAAAAAACAAAAATAGTGAGATTTAGGAAGGGAGGGGGAAGGAGTAATAAGGTGGATTGGAGATGGAAAAGAAAGGGGATAGAGGAGGTAGGAAAATTTAAATATATAGGTTATACGTTGCAGAAGAATGGCGGGAAGGAAGGGGATGTGAAGAAAAGGGTGGGGAAGGCGGCGGCATTGTAGGGACAAGTGTGGAGGGAAGACGAGATTTGGAAGGGACTGGAAAAAGAGAATTTGATTATTTAATTGATTTGGGCGATAATGAGTTATGGAGTGGAAATATGGGGATGAAAGGAGAGGGAGAGAGTGGAGAGGATACAGGAGAGATATATAAAGTGGGTTTTAGGGAAGGACGCCAGAGTACATGGTAAGGAAGGAAATACAAAGGGTAAAATTAAGAGGTAGAGCGGGAAAAAGGGCTTGGGCACTAAGTAAATATAACTTTTCGCTCCAAGAGGAAAGTTGCCTTAAGGGTTGCAGCGCAAAAATCCAAAATGCTTGGAAATAGTAGCGCATAAATCAGAGAATTGTTTTGCATAGTCAGTGTATTTAATTTTACAATTTTAAACGACTTAGGTTTGAATATGACTGTTCGCTCCAAGAGGGAAGTGCCTTAAGGGTTGCAGCGCAAAAATAAAAAATGCCTCGAAATAGTAGCACATAAATAGCGCATAAATCCTGTGTATTTAATTTTCCAAAT